GGGGGGGGGGATCTTTGGCGGGGGGGCGTGCGTCCCTGGCTCCGTCGCCAACCCACCCTCCTTCGCTCCTTCCCCCCGTCTCCCCGTCCTCCTCTCACTTGTCCCATCCTCTCCCTTACCTCCCCCCCCTCTCTCTCCCTCCCACTCTCCCGCGCCCTCGCTCCGCCCTCGGGTCATCCCCCCCCCCCTCTCCCCTCCCTCCCTCCTCCGTACTCCACTGTCCCCTCCATACTGTGAGCCATGTCAGACGATGTCTCTGCGTATCCGTCCATCGGCCGACTGACAGCACGCCTCGCGTCGCCGGTGCACTCGCCCCCACCGGCAGCCAGCGTGCTCATCGTTGGCGCCGGGTGTGTGGGCCAAGTGCTGGCCAACCACCTTGTGCGCTCCGGCGCCTCGGTGTCCTTCGTCGTCCGGCCGGGCAGTCTTCCCGGGCTGGTGGAGCAGGGCTTTTGCCTGCGACAGCTTGATGCCGGGTCGGACCTGGAGGCGGCCGGGCACCTGACTGCCAGCCTCCCCGGAGCCGACGTCCTGGACCCCGGCCTCAATGTGACGCTGTTCCCCTCGGTGGCCGAGGCCCTGGCTCCCATGGCTGGTGATGGTGGGGACAATGACGGGGCCCCGGCCGCCACGCACTACGACTATGTCATCAGCACCCTGCCGACGGATGCCCACCGCGGCCCGGATGGCCAGGCCACCCCTTTCTATCGGGGTCTGCTTGAGGCAATTCTGCCGGCCTCCGACACGGTTATTGTGGGGATCTCCGCCATGCCGGAGGAGGCAGCTCTTCTGCGCACCTTCGGCTTCCCCGATGATCGGATTATCGATCTTGGCATCACCTTCCTCGCGTGGCCGGCTCCCCTGCCGGGCGAGCGCTTTGAGGGGTGCCCCCCTTGCTCGCAGGACCCGGAGCACCGGGTGCGCATGCATCCGCGCTTGTCATTCAGACGCCTCATCAGCCATCCCACTCACACCCGTGCACCCTACACACACACACACACACACACAAACGTATATATATATATACCGCCCTTCTCTCCGGCTCCCTGGCCATCTGGGCTCCTCTCACGGACAGACCATTGCTTATGCGATTGCCCAGGGGCTCCCGGCGTCGAGCCCCGGCGGCCGCAATGAGCGCGTGGCGGCATTTGCTGCGCTACTCAGCAGCGGGGGTCTTTCCTGTAAGGTGGTGGTACGTCCTCTCGAGTCTTCGTGCTTCTGAGGGGTTAGGCATCCAGCCATGTCTCACAGTGGTGCCCTCTCTCTCTCCCCTTCCCCCCCCCCCCCACACACACTCTCCCTGTCGCAACTTCCACCATCCAGGATTCGGCCTGCACGCAGCTCGTCCCGGGCGAAAATATCCTCGGCACCCTACTCATGGCTCTGGAGCTGTCGGACTGGTCCTTTGAGAAGCTTATGTCCAATGCCGAGCTCCGTGAAACCACCTGCCGTGGTACGTTTCCCATCTGTGTTTGCCCATCTGGGCATCATGGCTTTCCCATGCATGAGTAGCTGAGCCCTGACCGACGTCCCTTCGGCTGGTAGCCATCTCCGAGCGCCTGGCCATTGGCCAGCAGAGTTTGGCCGACAAGCCCGGCTGGTCTTCCTCGGCCAGCTGGACTTTCTGGATCGGTGCACAGGCCTTCCGATTCGTCCTGGGCCAGCGTTTCCTCTGGGTGGTGGCCAAGTTTTTCTTCTCCTGGTCCGTTATCTTTGCTTCTCCGCACCCTCCCCCCCCCCTTCTCTCCCCCTGGCAGCCTGTCTTTCTACCTCTCCCCCCTGCGCCTCCTCTTCGCCACCTATCACATAGGTGCCATGCATACACACTCGTACTTACTTCCCGTGTTCCCCTCACGCTTTCCCGGCTGGATGCTCACTCGTTCATCCCTCCACCCATCTATGTCTTGCCAATGCTTCATACAGGTTCACCTCCTTCGATATGGAGGCCTATCTGCGATACCACTTCACCAAGGTCGGCCCGCAGATGTTCATGTACGTCAAGAGCGATCTGGACTTGGCCGCGAGCTCCAACCTGCCGACCGAGAACCTGGACCTCCTGTACAACCAGCTGAAGGAATATAAGGAGGCTCGTGGGATTGCCACGGTTGAGAGCCGTGGTCAGGGCGATGGTCAGTCGTAAGGCACGATGACCCCC